CCAAAAGACTCATATAGGTGTTGAAATGCTTGTAGGTACTTTCAATCCCGAGCACGAGTCGTAAAGTTGGAGTCGAGTTCGAGGATCGAGGGATGTGTTCATATGGAAGGCGTGTGAATCTTGTGTGCTCTTAATTTAGCTATATTGTTCTACTTATATAGTTTAATTTTAAAGACTTTTGGTACCGTCTTAGATATCTATTATCGTACTCTTCCACCCCTCGGGGGATCTTATTAGTAAGAACATTGCATCTAATAATAATTAGGATTTTGATTTCCTCTTTTTGCCGAACTTCTATATAATGCTTATCGGTTAATTATATGTTGTGTTATGCCCTGTTGTTCGATAATCCGTATTAAATATACTTTTTGTTTAGAATTGCATGTAATTTTACAGAATCATAGGTCTTTCTGTTAGGGCTAATTTGGTAGGTCTTTTGCATCATTTGGATAAGTCACGAATTTATTATGAATTAATTTCCGTAATTGTGCACATGTTGAGTTATTTTAGGACATGCATCAATATATGAAGTTTTTCTTACTCAAATGAATCTATTTAACTTGGAGTATGTTCCTAACTCACTTATCTACCTTGGTATAAAATTTGGTAGTTTTTAGAACAGTAGGGAATTTATAAAGAATTTTCAAAGCTCCCTCCCATGTTCTGGATTTTCAAACTGTACAGTTGCATGCCTTTAATTATTTCTCTCAAATGGTTTATGATATTTTAAAACTGTTTTAAAGAAGTGATTTAGACCCATATGATAGTATGTGGTTAAATTTTTAAAGTATGTTCATGAAGGGTTTAAGAGAAATTAATTTTCGAAGTTGATCTACCTAATCTGTCCGAAATTCCTCTCGTTACTCTTGATAATTTAAATAATCTAGTCATGCATGTTCCCTTTGTGATATTTGGTTAATTGTATACGATATGGTATTATGTGGACACTCTTACTCTGATTTTAAAATTTATGCTTAACTTTCTATTGGTAGAAGGTGATTATTAACACGAGCATTCCACACTCATTATTATCCCACATTATGTAAGCTAGTGACGGGGTTATCACAAATAATCCCTAAAATATAATAGAGGCTTGTCTATCAATTATGAATTCGATCAACACTCTATTGTTTTATGTAATGAAGGGGTTATCCCTCATTTTCCCTTTTTTTATTTCCTTTTTAAGGGGAAATGTGGGATACCCCTCGTTTTGAAAATATATAGGGATATGTCCTATGGATTTTTCTTCTCTAGTCAAAAACCTAAATTCTAATCTTAATTTGATGACCCCCTAGACAAATTAAAATACTCGTTTTGCCCTTTTAGTTACAATTTAAAATCCTAACCCCCTAACATTTTCTCCCACTCTCTACCACATTTTTTTCCGGCCGTCAATTCTCCCTCTCCCGCTCTCTCTCTTTTTTTCTCTCTCTCTTCATCTCTTTCTCTCTAACTCTCTCTCTCTCTTCTCTTTCTTTCTCTCTCTCTCTCTCTTCATCTCTCTAACTCTCTCTCTCTTCTCTTTCTTTCTCTCTTCATCTCTCTCTAACTCTCTTTCTCTTTATGGCTGTCCACAGCCCTCCGCCGCCGCGGCTGCTCCCCCATCTCCTAGCGTCGCTGCCGCCACTACTCCCTTCACCTCTTTACAATGCCGCCGTCGCTGCTCCGCCACGGCCTTGTGCCGGCCGTCGTTGCTCCTCTCACTGCCTTGAACTCCGTATTAAACCATCCACTTCACCTCTTTAAGTTATTTTTTAATTTATGAATGTCCATCCATTTTTTTTTAAGCTCGAATTCTTACTATTTCACATTTTCTTATTATTTTTTTTTATGAAAACCAACTGAATTCGAAAATTTCAAAGCGTGATTCGACAATTTGTAGTCAGATCTAATGGTGAATTTTAGATCTGGAACCGGTGGTGTTTGATTTGTATATATTTACTCCGTTTATCAAAAAAAAAAAAAAAAAAAAAAAAAAAAAAAAAAAAACCAGATCTACTATATTTTTGAATTTTGAAAGATCTGTGAACAATTAATATTAAAAAAAATTCTTTGGATTAATTTATTTTTTTATTATAAATATATGTAATTTTTTTTTGTATTTATTTGAAGATGATTTGAAATGCCTCGAGTTTAAGAGTTTTATTTGTCTGTAGTAGAAATTTAGTCAGTAGTGGTTACTTAGACATATACAGTCAGTCATATGTAGTCATGTATAGTCATAGCTATATATAAACTATACATGACTATAGGACTCGTAGTATACTATAGTCACATGTAGTTGATTTCAGTTCAATAAATTTATAATTTATCAACAAAAAAAAATCATTTTCTTTTATATTTTTCATGTAATCTAGCTTGCATGTTTCATTTGCTATTTAACTCGTATTTTTTTGTCGAATGTTTTGCTTTTATTATAATTTTATGACATGCAGAGAATAAGATGCGATGAAGTGCCTTGTGAAGTTGGATTCATGCTACAGTAGTCTAGACTTTATGTCACTATATATAACTATAGATAATTGTAGATAACTATAGTCACCTGTAGTAACATACAATATATGTATGCTATAAGTTTTTTAATGTACATTAATACTTGTTCATTTTTTGTTTGTTAGTTGATTTATAATATCAAGATCAAAATTGTGAATTTTATTTGTTGGTGTAGATGAATTTTGGGATAAAAAGACAGTATGTCACTACATATAACTATACATGACTTTTGAACATGTAGTACACTGTAGTCATATGTAGTATACTTTCAGTACAGTAATATTACCAAAATTTGAATTTATTAAAAAAAAATTAAAAATTTAAAAATTTAAAATTTAAAATTAAAAATTTTAAAAAAATTTAAAAAAAAATCGAAAAATTAAAAAAATCAAAATATTAAAAAAATGATTTTATAAAAAAAACAATAATAATAAAAAAATGTACAATATATATATACAGTAATAAAAAAATATTAAATTAAAAATGATTATATATGCAGTACAAAAATACTAAATGCAGGTCTAAAATGATAAATGCGGTTGGTGAAAATGTTGTTGGGCGAAAATTGCAAATAAAGACACAATAGTACTTTTGCATCACGAGGAAGTATCTCAAAGGAAGATTTTTAGGGGTGGACCTATCCCTATATATTTTTCATATGAGGGTGTATATCAAATGGACCATTTTTTTAATTCATGATTCTTGATTTGTTAAAATAATAACAATATAATCCATTTTTCATGAATTGTTAGAGCCCGTTTGGCTAAACTTATTTTAAACAGTTGATAAGCTCTTACGTCTGATAAGATGTTTTAAGAGCTGATAAGCTGTTATATCTTATTTTTAGAATTAATATGAAAAGTGTTCGGGTAATGAACTTATTTGATATTTTATTCATTATATCTTAAATAAAAATGTGTGGTAGAGATACTTATTAAAAAATATCTTATTTGTTCTCCGACACCTATTTTTTTTAAATAAGATTTTTTTGCAAAAAAACTTACTAAATACTTTGAAAAAACTTATAAATTGATATCTTATAAACTCTTTTTAACATTTTATAAGATTAGCTAAACACCGTCTTATAGATTGGTTATAATGAAATTTAAAGCAGAACCATCTCAATGAAAATAGGATTTACTGAACCATCTATATATTTGATTGCATGTTCATTTATTGGAAAAAGAATATAAATATTAAATGAAGAAAAACCCAATTTCTATTTGTGAACTCTTCTTAAATCATAACTATTAACTATTGAATTTGAACCACAAAAATAAGCTCTATGGGGTAATTTGCTAAATATTTCTGAACTCTAATTGTCTTTCAAATCAGTACATACCAACTTTTGCAATTTCTTGAAAGTCATGTGTTCTGCAAACTCCTCACATTCCGTCAGATCACATGCAACCCCATTGCATTCTGTTAAATTTGCTCCATCCATACTCTCCACCGCTGCCATCGTTGAAAAGCTCTGTCACACACATAATCATTCATCTACATACGCACATGCGCACCACACACGCACGCACATACGATTTTGGTTACACTTATTCATCTCCGTTGTAACCTACTAATCATGGAAACCAAACCAAAATATGTTAAAAATTGTTTGGTGATGGTAACGTTTGTGGTGATGTACGCACCAAAGATTTTTTTTTTCTTGAGCTTATTTAACTAAATTGTGTAACTAAGCTACGCAAATAAATTGTCTAAGTTGTGTAATTATACCATTTAAGTTGTGTAAGTAAGTTGTTTGTGTAAGTTATGCATATGTTGTATAGTTGTTTTAGTTTTTTCTTCATTGTATATTTACTAAATTGTTCCTTATTAATATAACTAAGTTGTGCAAATCACCGCATCGCCGTTACTGTTAGTTTTTCTTAGCAAAATCGTAAAATGCGCATATTCTTATAGCTATAGAAAATATTTTTGAGGGACCTCCAGCTAATTTCCCCTAGTTATATTCATAAAGTTTTAAGTATTCAATTTAAGGTGCATTGTGAATGATTTATCGTGTTTTGAAGGTGTAAAGTGGTATTAATTTTTTATAAAGGTGCAAAATATCAAAATGCTATTTTTCTAGGGTGTAAATTGAAATTATAGTGTAAATCTACAAGTTTTTTTAGTTGTTTTAACAACTTCTTAATTAACTTGGTTTATAAATCATTTTTGTGCTAGTAATATCAATTACAACTTTCCTTTATCATTCGTAGTTACTAGTTACAAGTTACAATCTATTTCAAGAAGAAAAAAATGAAGAAGAAGAAGACCGTCCAAAAGCCAACCCGAATTATCCGACCACCCAACCCCCGATGCTCGCCTCTTTGTCTAAGTTAGGAATTTCGTCTCGTCTACAAACAGCTCAGCCCTTCATTTCTACGAAAATAGCAGAACCAACTATCACTACCAAAAAAAAATATGAGCATTTTGTGTGCAGTTTCATGCAACAGACTGTGATGGTTATCATATGCCGAAAGAATATTAAAATAAAAAATTAAACGGAGTAAAAAAAACACGATGAGATATAAATACTAAATCGGAAAATATATTTTGAGCTTATAAATATTACTTTTACTCAAAATACACTTTATCGCATCATCATTACTGTTCAAACCAGCACTTACATTTAATAAAACAAAACAAAACCGGTCGAACGACAAGTTTTATGCCCTATGAATGAATACCTTTGCCTTCTCTAAGAAACTTGTCGCGGTACTGCAATAGCTGTATGCGCTTCATCCTACACAAACATTTGCGAACTTGCTGATAATTCGATCTTGATGCAGCAATAGTTAGTTGTATCCTAAATGTGCAATATTTTGCAATAAACCCCTCTCGGATATGTCGTAATGACGATTTTTAAGCTTGAATTTAAAATTACAAGGATGGCAATATCTTTTGCATATAAATGTACAGAAATGCAATAGTAGAAATTGCGAGTAATGAACTAATTTAGTCATCGTCTTCAAAATAGCAGGGGAGGCAGCCATAGATATACGTATAGCAACACTAATTTACGTATATCTATTTTCTCTATTTTTTTTCTTTTCGATCGTACATCCTGAGAAAATCACAGGTCGAATACTCAATTTCATAGTCTGCGAGTACACTTTAAAACATTTCAAATACAGAAAAAAATATATATATCTACATCATACAATGTTTATATAACAGACGAATTCATGTCCTAGAAGCAAATACATAGTAATTAATAACTACGATTTCGGAGAAGTCATTACCGAATTTAAAATCAATTTCTAGCATCGGCATCCACATCAGATCGATCCACCAGCAGCCAGCCCGACTACTCGTAGAGAACCTACGCATCAAATTTGACAATGCCGACTACATATTTCAAGACTATAAGAATTGATTCCTTCGAAAAAATAAAAATATAACAAAAAAATAAAAATGTCCCACGCTCGGGTTTTTATTTTTTATTTTTTATTTTTTATGCAGGCATCAATACTCGAGTGTTGCCTACCATATGCAGAAACAATGCAAAACATATAGTAAGAATAACCGAAGACTTAGCACCGACATATCTCACAACCTCAAACCCTCTCGCCGCAACCTCGTCATGAACAACATTCACACTTCCCCTCAACCCTTCGTTTATTTTCCATAGTAAAAACTCGACAACCGATCGGACGGTTTCGAATGTCACCCTGCCTGTCACATCAAGAACGAACCTCCGATTGCTCGGTACTGCCAATGTAGACGTAACGCTACTAACCCATCCCTTATTCTCCAAATCGTTACTCAAACAAGTTTCTTGCTCGAATTTCTTCGCCTTTTCACTCGATCCCGACACAGAATCTTGATTCGAATCTGTAAGAACCTGGTGAGAGGTTTTCACGAGAGTCTCGACAGCTCCGTTGCATAGCGAAACCAAGAAATCGGTCACTTTGTTCTGATGTTTGGGATCGGTCAGGCCAGAGAACATCTCGTCGTAGAAATTGACGTCCATTGTTTTGTCGAGATAAACCGCAACAGCTGTGCTGACAAAAGTCTTGATGCAGTCGGCTACTAGTACTCTGCATTTATCATCCGACACCACACTTATCCAAGTACCCATTGACGAAGAAGTAGATTTCTCGGAGCCAACATTTTCACGATCGGAATAAAACCCCAGAACCAAATTCTTCGCGAAACTCCCGACAACGACCGAGACGAACCCCGTCCCGGCACTCGACATCAATTTATCCATAACCCTGTCCGAAAAACTCGAACTTTCCACTTCTTGAATCTCGTTCGTGCTACTACTGTTATCGACATTGTAGCCTCTTAATATTCCGATAGTCATGGACTGGCAAACGCGGGTGACCGAGTCGGAAAACTCCTTCGATCTGGCGATTTTCGAGAGCTGCTTCAAACTATTGGGAATGTCGTCGGAGTCGGATTCAAGGAACTCCTTCAAATCACGGGACACGACGGTGATTGTCTCGGCCGAATCGGACACCATTTCGGCCATCGAAACGAGGGAGCCGAACAACTTCGAGATTCGCTTCCTCTTTCGGGCTACACACGGCATCTGGTACACTCGGTAGGCGCCGTAACTCGAAAAACCGACGAGCCCCAATACTATTATCCATTTCTTCCTCCTTCTGGCGAAATCTAAACCCCTTTTCACCAACTCATTATCCATACAGCTCAAATGAATATATAAAAAAGAAAAATTAAAAAAAAAAACCCCAAAATCCCCAATTTCTAAGATACCTAACCTAAAGTAAAGGTGAAGAAATAGATTTTACAAGAGCTCAAATCTAATAAAGATGATAAAATTGAAGGGATTTATAGTCTGAAATATATAAAGGAAGAAAAGGATAAAATTTGCAAATACCAAGAAAGATGAAGCCTCCTCGGGATTGGTGAACACTGAAACTCTGGTTGATTGATTGATTGGTGTAATAATTACTCTGGGAAAATAACTGCAGCTTGACGAAATATATTTACCCTTCCTTTTTCGCCGCACCACCTGTACATACAGAAGGCTACATGTAGAGAGAGAGAGAGAGAGAGAGAGAGAGAGAGAGAGAGTTTGATTAAACGGAGTTGCGATGGGCGATTGAATTGAGAAGGAAAGAGGAAGGGTTTGTTTGTTTGCAAGGTCAAAATTGTGGCGCACAATTAAAAAAGGGGAATTTTAATTTGGCGATTCAGAACAAAGAATTGGTGATACGTTTGTTTGTTGTTGTTGAGATGATAATCTGCTATTGGCTTTCCCAGGATACTTGTCACGTGCGCCACTGTGAGGCTCCAGATTTTCTTTTTTTTCTTTTTTTTTTTTTTTTTTGGGAAAATACAATAAAAGAAGTGATAAGAAAAACTCTTCCATTTTTAAGAAAAATAATAACAAAAATCCTAATTCAAAATTCCTATTAAATTAGTTTAAAGAGGTTGGTTGAAGGACTACGTTTCCTTCATTTAAATATAGTACATCGTTGATGCTGCAGTTGACAATAATATTGTTGTCAATCTCTATAATATATTTTTTTCTGTTGCACAACAATATTATTATATAACACAATAATATTGTTGTTAATATCATTGTCTAATTAAATCATATTATTGTTTTTTTAATATAAGACCATGTTTGGTTCCAAAGATAAATTATGATTAACTAAATAGTTGGACTTGATTTGGTGTTTGGTATCCTCAATAAATTGCCGGGTCGAACAACAAACATTATATTATCATGGCTTATTTTGCCTTATCTTGCATTCTAATGAGTTTTTTTTGTTGGACATTTCAAACTCCAATAAAATAATTAGGTCTCATTAGATTATTTAATCTTATCTTACCAACCAAACGGGGCATAAATGTGTTAGACAGTGATATAGTTAATATCACTATCAACTATAGTATTACTATTGTTTGCAACATGGAAAACAAAAATCAACCACAGTAATACAGTTAATCTTATTGTCAATAACAGTAATATTATTGTTTGCATCATTGACCACCTGTCAACGGCGAAAAAACAATCTTCAGAAAAGCAAGTAAAAAAAAAGTCAACGGTGGAAAAATAAGTCAAAAAAATTTCAACACCAGAGATTGGCCATCAACGTCGGCGGCTATCAAAATTAAGTTCGGGGTCAAAATTGAATAATTAGTAATATTATCGTTAAACCATGTTAAATTGATATTGAAATTGAGATTAAATAACTCAAATATATTAAAATTTGAGGGATGGTTTAGTCTTTTACAGATCTTTGAGCCTTATCTAGAACATTTTTTTCTTTTTTTTTAATAAATGAGCTATTTTGGTGGATTAGTTATGATTTATGAATTAGTAGCCCCTAATAGGGAAATTCTATGCTAGTGAATATAACCAGGCACCCTAATTAATAAGATTCCCACTACGGGTTCAGTTATGGCCCAATGAGTTTTTAGAAATATAATTATAAAATAAATAAAAAATGACACATGTCAAGAAAAGAGCCACCCGGTGAAAATCACCAGGTGTAGCATCGTATTTCCCCTAGTCCTATTAGTAATAACCCCATAGAATTGCAAAAATGACAGCTCATCTTACGAAAGTAAAACTTTGAGTATCTTCGATGTCAAACTCAAAAGAAACTCTGAAAATCCTAGATGTCAGGTACTAAATGGGAATTTTAAAATTTTATCTATCCTATTTGGCATTTGGCAAGATTGAGATTATCTGATGTCTTCTCCAATGTAACAAACACACTCAAGGCTCAAAATATTTTCTTAGAAACTAAAAAGAAAATTATAACAAAGATGATTTGACACTTTAGAGATCCTTAAGATGAGTGTCGAATTTAAATTTGACTTTTCTACTCAAAGTTATTACGATTTCAAAACCAAAAATATTGTGTGCATTACAAATTTTACTTATGCAGTTCATTTTCAACATTTTCAAACATAAGTCTTAGTAAGAACAATAAACAAGCTACGTAACTTTAAAGAATTACAATAATTAGATTTAGGGAAACATAAATTTAAAAAGAAAGAAAGCAAAATACCGGGCTTTTTTTGGACTCCGTGCGTCGTAACACAAAGTACGCAATCTGTTGCCGGCTTTATTGCACGGATCACAGTTTTTCACTACATGCTTCACTACCCGGAAGTCAGTACGTATTTCATAAATCGGATGAACTTGGGGCCGGGCAGATTGTAATAGTCTGCCTTGTGAGTCGATATAACTTAGTCTTTTGTTTAATTAATTTCAAAGCTAAAAAAATATAAAATAAATATCACTTGCATAATTGATCTTGTATATGCTACACCAAATTAATCATACCGAATATCTAGATGTACACACAATATCCCACATATACACACATAAATATCTGCAAAATGAGTAGTTAACGGTACAAACAAAACATCAGAACCATCGTTTAAGCAACACGAAACTGACTCAAGAAACGCTGATTCCATGAACTCGCCCTCCAATTCTGATCAAGAAATCGATAATTCTTAAAACCGTGAGCAAGTCTATAAATAAAATAAAAAATAAATAAATAAATAAAAAACTAAACAATCTCACGATTTAGATGTGACATCGGAACAGAGGTACTGTATTTTCACTATATATATACATATACAAACTGAATCAACAAACAACATGATATTTCATATTTTCTTGTCATATATACATTAAAAGTATTACATTTCAGCTTTTTCCTCCCTAGTGAAGATGAAGCTGTGACCTCACAACATCAAAATAAAAAAAACCAATGTAGTAAGAAATCACTAACAATGATAGGGAGATATTTGCACAGCTAAGCCAAGTTATTGGCTCAAAGCTATAGCAAAAAACCGAAAGGGGAAAAAAATAAAAAGACGAGGAACAAAAAGTGTTCCTCCACAATGGCTTTTCTGGGCTTCAATAGTAAATCTGAAAAAAAGAAAAAAATAAAAAAAAGAATCACCAAAACTTTTTGCACTCTGCTATTATCACGTGCGACGAACTTCAAACAATAGGGACTTGTGATGTTTCTAACCTGGCAAATCTAAGACGGGCTGCTGGCACATAGTCCATTCCACGGACCAGTCCGTAGAGTAATTCTTCCCCCCCCTGGCAGAAAAACGACATGAAACTCACGATGAAGTTTTGGCGGTTGTATTTCCTTCGGTTGAGGCTAATTTGTATTTAATGGGCACTGTGCAATCTGAATCATCCTCAAGATCACTAAACGATATATCTTCTTCGTTTTCTATAATTGTGGTGCTGCAATAACCGACTAAATCCGAATCTTCCTTTAGCCAGTCATCTTCATCGTCATCTTCATCTTTGTTATCATTATTATTTTCTTGCATAGGTGTTTCAATGGAAGAAGAAGAAGACGAAGAAGAAGAAGAAGAAGAAGAAGAAGAAGAAGAAACAACGATAATTTCCTTCTCGTGGAAATTGGGCGATGGGTCTTCCTTGATAACCGACTTGTCAACAAACTCAACTTCGTTACACGAGTGCTTATCGATCTCGTATACAGCTGCCGTTTGGTGCGACGCACTTCCAAAACGGGAGTCTTCGTGAGAATGCGTGTTCTCTCGTGGTGAATATCCGCTTTCTTTGGAGTAAAAAGTATTCATTCCTAACCAGTACGATGACTCCTTATTCTGTTTTTGTAGCTCATGCATCCACATAGCCCTTGCTTCCACAATCTGCATTCAAATATGTATGATGTAGCAGAATATTACATATATGATGATTTGCACTCGGTAAAATAACAGAGAGCAGGTTATGCGAGTCGTTCTTTTTCTTGATAATTAGCTTATGCGAGTCTGGGCAATAATCATTCTTCATGATGGCAACAAATAATTCGAAATTTATCTTCACCAAGAATACCAATTTTACACTATTTAATAATTGATACCCAGCTCTGAAGAAAGGAACGCCCGTTAGAGAGAAATCATCACGTTTCTAGAAATGACTATTTTGCCCTTCTTAAAAGTTCAATTATAGTAAGCTTACAAAGGTTTATCACATTTCAATTCTATCCCTAGAACTTCATTTTACAGTTATCACACAGTATACATTGCATAATGTTTACGGAAATTTGAATAAACATGGAAGAGCTTCAGTCGGATGTTTTTAAATTTGGATAAACATCTCGGGGCGACACTCGACATTTTTCATAAAATAATGGTTCCTAGTCTGGACCAAACAACTGTGGTTATAATTAACACGAGAACAAATGTTAGACGTCGACGTCATATTAGAAACTTTAAACTAAAATGAGGTTCTTCAAATTATTCCTAAGAGTAATTTGGTCAAAAATATCATAGAACTTCTTAAATTAGTTAATACGAGGCCAAATTAGATTTTTATTTATACTTTTTGCTAAAAACAAAAACCACAACGTCGGTATGGGTCTATTTCTTTGACAGCGATGTACATCAATCATTACAAACCTAAGGGACATAACTGTATTGACGCAACCAATAAGGAAATCTTTGTGATTGTCAGGAAAAAAATTAATTACCATGAAAACCAAACAAGGGAAGGTAAGTAAACTAAGAGCATATTACACAGCCATTACAACTTAGTAAACTTGTCTGTCTAGTGCATCGTGGTTGAAAATTTGGTAATTTAAGCAGAAAAATAGTGAGAGCTGCTACTGTGGACAATCTATGATGCCTCAATAACCGCAAACTCAAAATTTAATGTATATCAGTGCTTCTGACGTCTAATACTAACTAACCTGCGGCGAAGACAAGAGGTCGGCATCGTGTTTATTTAACCTTGAATGCAGAAGGACAAAATAGACCATCCAAAAGTAGCACTCACTCATATGAACTGGGCAAAGTTCAATTCTAAGAGCGGCTAACCTTGGTGCTAGATGTTCAACAGCCATCGCATGCTTGTACTGGGAATCAGATATATCGAAATCTGGAAGGGAAAAAATGATAATTAGATGGAAAATACCATAAAAGTCGATTTTTTTGTACTCTAATGATAGTGGATTTGTTGATTTACAACCATCAAAACAACTATTCAAAGGGAAAATATGAACCATCGAGTCACAACCGTAAAACCAAAAACATCCATGTTTTTCAGGGGAAAAAGTTCAGGGAGTAGATACCGCCAAAAGAACTCTACTCCTATAAACTAGATTATTGACAAGCAGATAGCATTCAATTAGCTAAGCCCAACAAATCTAGTCAGCAGATTCCAAAAATAACATTATGGCCAAAACTTGGCCGTTTGAATAATGCAGGTTCATAGTTCACTGCAGGTGAACACAAGAATAAAGAGGACAGAGGGAAAAAACACACTAAATCAACATTGTCCGTCTCCTAAGACAGAAACATGTCTGGTTATTAGTATTTCGATTATTTATATTCCTGCAAGTTACTAATCATTCATTTGCAATGTTTGAACAATCATAAACCCACTAACTGCAACAAAACATCTTCGACAAGACATCTACTTCTCCTAGTAAACACACTAAATCAACATTGACGAGGTATTTGTTTTGGAAAATGTCAACAGAAAAACTCAAGTCATTATATTCCAACAGAACTTCCAAACACTTTTCAATTAAATGAAATTTTATGTATGTCTAATGGAGCCATTCTACCAAACACTGAGATATATGAAGAATATCTTAGTTATTTTATGATAAGCAAATGTTTAACTTTCTATATAAACATCTTGCAAATTCTCCACCAGTAACTATCAAGCTGAAGAAAACAGTTTTATGATAAATGTATGTACTGCCCATCTACCTCACACTTCGACAGAAAAAAAGCCTTTTCATACTTCTCTGGACTCTACATCAATCTTATTTTATGATTGCAGGTCAGCTCCAAAGTAAAATTAGTTAAAAACTTCTCAATTATTGCATTATCTCTAATTCAGGTTTAGTCTTGCAATGGTTTACCATTAATATCTATCCAATTACATTTCATGGTATATATCAGGTCATCTCTTCTGAATGTAACCCATCTTATTCAGTCTTTATCTAGTTCAGCTAACTAAAAAATATATGAATTTTTTTAATTACATTAGCACATGATTTATGCAACTCCATCTTATCATTCCCATCTCTATTACAAGAAAAGTTGAATAGAAAATAACTTTATCACATCCAAAACTACATAATTCTAAGTCATAACATCGCGAAAATACTCCAATTACATTTATGTAGCCTTAGTTCCGTACATTTATCATCCGTGATACATCCCTCACTAAAAGAATCTAAGCCCGGGTATTAATATCATACAAAAGCCCCTCCAAACTTTGCAACATTGCTGCAAGTACTCTTGTATTGACTAAAATAAGTAAGTGTCGAGCTTATTCCCAATTAATATTTTGTATTACACATCTGTCGACTCAATAAACTTCACTGTTCTCATACTACATATAATCATGGATTTTACTCAGCAAATAGCATACATTTAAGCCGATGAAGAGAGAAAGAACAATAAAATGACAAATTAAAAAAAATTAAAAAAAATTAAAAAATCAACAAGTGCTATTAGAATTCAGATACTTATATGTATTTGTTATATGCATTCTCGACTGGACATCAAAGATTATCTCCACCATTTAACTTCCAAAGATATATTTCTACTTTTTCTAACTACAATTACTCACGTTTCCACCATAGACGTAGAAGCAAGCTTTTTCTGAACCATCTTAGCCTAAAGGTTGGTCACTAAAACACTGTCCTAACTAAAAATCCTCATTTTGTGTGAAGTGAATAGTGCCACTCCCGATTCTAATATTTATAAGGGGGGCAAAAAAAATCGAAACTGCTATGAATTTATCAATAATACTTCTCCAAGTTTGAATAATAATGTTCTTGTTATACTACTGCTACATTATTACTTAACTTACAATACTATCAGCTTATGATAATCATTTCAGTTCTACACAAAATCATAAGTATCAAAAAACAATATATAAAATCAGAACCAACAATACTAATTAACAGAACCCAACAGAAATATTTGCTCACCATCAAATTCCTCTTCCTCTGATAAAGGGAAATCCAACCAGGTTTCGGGATGATGTGCAATATTCCTTGCGAAGGCCAAAACTTCCTCCGTAATTCCAATTGCGTCCTCGATTAAATTTGTGTAATAATCCTCATATGCAGGCTCCTCAAATTGACCAGACTCTCCCTCTTCATACTCCACCAATTCTTCATTCTCCTCCTCGTCATCATTGGGCGACCCGGCCCCACCGGATAATTTTTCCGAGGGCAACGAAGCCGATTTCTGACTGAACGGGAGCGGCGGTGGCGGCGGCGGCGGCGGAGGAGGAGCGAGGAAAGAAGCAACGCCCCAAAGTTGGCGCGTGAGGCTGTCTCTGAATTCAGATAAATCCTCCTTCACCCCACGCCCTTGATTGTCATCACCGTCGAGATCTCCATCATCGCCGCCACGATTGTAACCTAAATCGCCATCACTATCCTCCGACGACGACCGACGATCTTCGGCAGAGAGCGTGCTGTTGTCGTCTCGCGGCAGATCTTCCGGCGACGCGGCGGCGTCGTTTGCGGTGGGTCGTGGAACGACGTCGTCCGGGGTCCTTTCCTCCTCCTCCGCCGCCGCCGCCAAATCTCCGTCGTCATCGAGGCGGAGAGAATTGGCAATGGAACGAGCAAGCCAGGACATATTTTCCTAACGACGTCGTTTTTTGCGTGATGGAGATCGACAATTGATTTTTGAATAAAGTTTTGGCTGCAGGTTTACAAAATGATGATGTTTTTTTTTTCTGGTGGGATTATTTTTTTCTTCGCCCTCTTTTTACTGCTCACGTGGACTCCTATTTTTCAAACTATTTTTTTTTTTTTTGTTTTTTGATAAATAAGTTATTTTTTTTAAATTAATAACTTGTCCAATTGGGGAATAAGTTTATATATTCTGTCACGCAATTTAAATGCCCAATTGAAGTTAGCCAACAACCAAGTCATTCATTTAGTTGTTTATTAATATTTATTCAAACGCCTTTTGAAATTATATACAATGTAATGAATAAGCATGAGTTGAATTGAAAATCTAATAATGAACATCAAATCTATTTTAAATCATCATAAGTCTGAACTATTGGGTAAACTACAGTCACCCCTCATTTTAAATAATTTTATAAAAACATTATGTAATTCGGTTATTTACCGAATTAAATCATATATTCATTTCGTTAAATGGTATGAAATGTTGGCATACCGAAATTTCAGTTCGATTTTACCGATTTAACATCCTTGAATTTACCTTTAGATGGAGTTTTTCCGTAAGATAATACATAGTTGAAAGGGTGTTGTAATTACCAAAACATAAAGGATTATTATAATTTAACCATAACTGAGGGGTATGTGTAATTTGCCCTAAACTAAATAAACTATATGGTCTGTTTTTACTACCGTAAGTCTGCAACGTATGAGACATATAGCCAAGCTACGGAGCTTTCATCAATTAAACGGTTTATTTCATGCTTTTCGGTGTGCTTTGTCGAATTATATCTTACTATATACATGTGCCTAAGTTTTTATAAAGTGTACATACATCACCATTACATATTTGTGATTGTTTGTAAATTAAATATGAAAAAATATCCGTGTATTTCACCGTATGTCGTATGTACAACACTCAATTAAATTTTCGCCCATTTATCTTCATAAAGTTATGTATTTCTGTTAATTTAATCCAAGGTAGTTGGTGCGATAAAGACGATGAGTTGGAAAGTATTGTGACTGAGTATTTTCGAGATATGTTTAAATCCTCAAATCCGACGAATGAGGATTTGAATGAAGTCTTAGAATCCATTGAGCCGCGGATTAATAATTCTATGAATATGGAGCTTTCACGAGCATATTCAGCCTCAGACGTCAAACGAGCTATAGACGACATGCACCCTTTAAAGGCACCTGGACCCGACGGCTTCCCAGTACTGTTCTACCAGAAGTTTTGGCATATTGTCGGGGAAGACGTCACAAAATGGGTGTTGAGGTTTCTTAATCATATGGAGTTCCCGGCGACATGTAATTCTACTAATATTGTACTCATTCCAAAGTGTGCGAATCCGGATAACATGACTCAGTTTCGGCCTATAAGTTTGAGTAATGTTATTTATAAGATTGCGGCTAAAGCAATAGTAAACAGATTGAAGCCTCTTATGAATCATATTATCTCGGATTCTCAATCTGCATTTGTACCTTCTCAGCTCATTACAGGCAATATACTTATCTCATATGAAGTAGCACATTACATGAAGCCTAGTCTGGGGCAAAGTATGGCTGTAAAGCTAGATATGAGTAAGGCGTATGACCGCATTGAGTGGGTTTTTCTCCGTATTATGTTGTTAAAACTGGGAATGGATCTCCGTGTGGTTAATGTAATCATGAAGTGTGTGAGTACAGTTAATTATTCTTTTGTTTTGAATGGGGGCGCTTTCGGTTCTCTTTGCCCAGAGAGAGGTCTTCGGCAGGGTGACCCGTTGTCACCTTATTTATTCTTGTTTTGTGCCGAAGCTTTGAGTGCTTTGTTTCGGAGAGAGGAAAATATGGGCCGTTTAGATGGCCTTACTATCTGCAGAGGTGCTCCAGCAATATCTCATCTTCTATTTGCAGACGATACAATGATTTTTTGTAAAGCAAATGAGAACTCCGCGAAAAGCATTAAAAATATACTCAATATCTATGGGAGAGCATCGGGCCAGAAAGTCAATTTCCAAAAGTCTAGTATTGTCTTTAGTAAACGGACAAAACAGGAAAATATTGATCGGATTAAATATCTCTTGCCCATGGCAGTTGTGGATAAACATGAAAAATACCTTGGACTTCCAGCAATTGTAGGAAAATCCAAAAGAGAGGTGTTTGACCACATTAAGGAAAAAATATACAGTAGACTTATGGGGTGGAAAGAGAAATGGCTCTCTCGGGGCGGTAAAGAAATTCTTCTTAAATCGGTTGTTCAAGCTATTCCAACCTTTGCAATGAGTTGCTTTCGTCTACCAGAATACTTCACGAGAGATATCGAAAGCCTTATGGCTAAGTTTCGGTGGGAAGGGTCTAACGGCAAAGGAGTTCACTGGATAAAGTGGCAAGAACTGTGCAAAAGCAAGCGAGCAGGTGGTCTCGGATTCAGAGATTTAGAGGCATTTAATACATCTCTACTTGCAAAACAATTATGGCGATTGTTGGTGACCCCGGAGAGCTTGCTTAGCAGAATATTGAAAGCAAGATATTATCCAAATTTACATTTGTTCGAAGCCACTTTAGGATCAAACCCATCATACATCTGGAGGAGTTTATGGAGTGCAAAAAGCCTTCTTGAAGCAGGTGCTCGTGTGCGGATCGGGAATGGACGTTCAACCAATATTTGGGGGGATCGATGGCTGCCACGAGAAACTACATTCCAGATTTTTTCCCCCAGAGGAGATCATCCAATGGATATGAAAGTTAGTGAGCTGATATTGGAAAACGGGATATGGAACGACGACCTTATCCGTGGATTATTTTTTGAGGAAGATTGTGAGTCTATCCTGTCCATTCCATTTGAGAGCGTGAGAAATGAGGGTCGGTATATATGGCATTATAATTAGAATGGGAGATTTTCAGTTCTGAGTGCGCATCACCTTGCTCTACATAAGGCTGTTGATGGAGAAAATCGTCATGGTAGTGGCTCGAGTGTGAATATTGCGGCGGACTGGAAATGGTTGTGGTCCTTAAAGTTGCCTAGTAAGGTTAAAATCTTTCTTTGGAGAGCATGCAAAGATCTTTTACCAACCGGAGACAATTTGCGGAAAAGAAAGGTAGTAGATGAATCAAGATGTATCTTTTGCAATTGCATAGGTGAACAAGTAATCCATTGCCTATTATTTTGTTCATTATCATGTCAAATTTGGGCTTTAAGTGACGTACCCTTCTCAATATATAATACATCAACTAATATTATGCTTGATTGGATATTGGAAATTAAGGAGAAAGCAGGCAAGGAGGTTCTTGGAAAATGTGTAGTTATGTGTTGGGCGACCTGGCATACTAGAAATAAAAGATTGTTCGAAGGCATTTACATGGCAGCTAAGGAAACAGTGAGTTTTGCTATTAAATATTGGCATGATTTGTGGAATGCTACAGCAGAAGTGCTGAACTCAAACATTCGCACGAACAGAGGTGTTGTAAGATGGGCTTGACCGGAAATGAATGTTGTGAAAATAAATTTCGATGCGGCCATAAACAAGGTAGATGGAATATGTGGTATAGGAGTTATCGCAAGGACGAACTTAGGTGAGTGTGTGGGATGGACCTCTCGCTGCATTAAAAAACCTCTGGATCCCACAGCGGCAGAAGCTCAAGCGGCATTCATGGCGGTCGAAATGGCTCGAACAAATAATTGGAGAAGGATTGTAATTGAAGGTGACTCGATGGAGGTTATCTGCGCAGTTTGTGAACCTGCAATCTCCGAAGCTACGTACGGGAATATTATTGAGGATATTAAGCGGAAGAGGGAGTGGTTCGAGCATTTTCAGATATAACATATTTTCAGAAAGGCAAATCAAGTGGCTCATGAAATAGCAGCTTTGTCAAAGATGGAAAATTTTGCTCTTGAGGATCTTCCTGTTACAATATGTAATATTATATCTGCTGAAAAGCATGTTTGAATAAAATTGCAAGCTTTTTTTTCTCAAAAAAAAAAAATCCAAGGTAGTTAAATGTCTAAAATAAACAAAGAAAATAAATAGTGATTGCACTCAAATAGTGTTATAAGTATAGGGGTATAAGTTGGAACGGAAATTCCAATTTCCGCATGTTTTGATTTTAAAAATTCTGATTTAGAACAATTTTTTTTTTCATTTCCACTTCGAAATTCCAATTTTTTTTTGGATTATAATTGGCATTATAAAAAAAACGGAACTTTTGATTTCCGATCCGATTTAATTTTGATAATTTTCGATTTTTTCCCGAAAATACACCAATAAATAATATATATATTATATAATTCTTATTTTATTTTATTTTGTTTTCTGAAACAGTAATTTGTGAAACACGTTGTTCTCTATACAAAAGTGTTTTTAACTCTCTTACTTTCAAACTAAATTTTAGTTATGACTTAGTGGGCTAAGTGTTATGACTTAGTGGGCTAAGTAGTGTTTAGTGGGCTTAATTGTGGGTTTTATTCTAACTTCCTAAACTAACCCACTAACCCACTTTCTTGAGTACTCTTGTGGTTGGTATTTCTTGCAGATCATGGGCTGAGGAGTGGAAGCTTGGCAAGTCTATAAATACCAAAATCAAGACTCAAGAATTGCACAGATTTCGAAGAAACAAAACAAGTGCTGAAGTTTTAATCTCGAGAATTTTAGTGTGTTTCTAGGATCTGTTGTACGTACTCCTTATGAGTACATTCTTTGAAATCTAGAATTTTTAATATTTTTCTTTTAGTATCTAGATTTGATTGTAAAAATGATCATGAGAATGATTCATTTGTAAGGAAGAAGTTTTCGCACCTCTTCCATTTGTATTCTTGGAATACTGATTTTAATATATTTTTCCGTCCTGTAAAGGGCAAGTTCACAAGTCTTTACTTGTGAACATTTTTAATTCTGAGTATTGTTCTTTTATCTTTATATTTCCGCTGCATGTTTGTTCAAGTGTCATAACACTTAAGACAACACCTCTGTATTAAATGAATTCAGGACCATAAATTATTTCAATTGGCATCAAGAGCCAACACTTGACGTATACTAAGT